TCGTCTTCTAAATTACTGGGCTTTTCAGTAACTTTTTAGAAGCTATTTTCAGAATTATCATGTTCTATGTATTGCTAATTTACCTCTGCAGTGTTTAATATGGGAGAATATTCAAAAGTCATGTAGGACATGAAACAATTCTTCTTGTTTGAGACTCTCCCAAACATGGTGGGACATCCAGCTTCCTCCTCATCCCCAGATGCCAATGGGCAGGTCGACCAAAGACTACATCCACCAGTTTCCAAAAATGTCACCTTTGGAGCACCACAGCTTCTGCTGATTATCCCAGACTTACGAGAGCACATCCCAGATGTGGGTCACTGCCACCCAAGACCTCACCGACAAGCATCCACTTCATGGACACAGATTCACATGTCCTTCCCACCAGCTAGTGTTGGGGGCATAACATGGGTACTTCTATTATCTCCACTGCTAATATCTTTACTACCTAAAATACTTCTACACAATTTTTATTAATCATGACTCATTCACTGAAACCCTCCATGAATGGTACTAACAAAGGTAAATAGGTAACATTTGTTGAGTGTTCCCTGTATGTCAGACCCTGGATGTGTTAGTTTTGCTACTTCATTCAAGCTTCACAATAACCCTATGAGGTGAATACTATTATTAGCCACATTTTATAGAGGACAGGTTTGGTAACTGGTCCAAAGTGACCTGACTAATGATGGCAGAATTAGAATTTGGACCCTGGCTCTTACTCTATTTGTTATACCATTTCCCCAGAACTGTCTTCTCTGTATTCAATTTAAGTAAAATGGCAAACTTATACCTATGGTCAATTCATCTTCAAAAAAGGAGGCAAGAATATACAATGGAGAAAAAACAGTCTCTTTGGCAAGTGCTTTTGGGAAAGCTGGATGGCTGCATGTAAATCAATGAAGTTAGAACACACTCTAACACCATACATAAAAATAAACTCAAAATGCCTTAAAGACTTAAATATAAGACACGATACCATAAAATTCCCAGAAGAGAACATAGGCAAAAACATTAACATAAATCGTACCAATGTTTTCGTAGGTCAGTTTCCCAAAGCAATAGAAATAAAAGCAAAAATAAACAAGAAAGAAAGAAAGTGAAGTTGCTCAGTCATGTCCGACTCTTTGCAACCCCATGGACTGTAGCCTACCAGGCTCCTCTGCCCGTGGCATTTTCTAGGCAAGAGTACTGGAGTGGGTTGCCATTTCCTTCTCCAGTGGATCTTCCCGACCATGAGACCTAATCAAACGTATAAGCTTTTGCACAGCAAAGGAAACCATAAACAAAATGAAAAGACAATCTACAGACTGAGAAAATATTTGCAAATGAGGCAACCAACAAGGGCTTAATTCCCAAAATGTACAAACAGCTCATACAACTCAATAACAAAATAAACCAAACAACCCAATTAAAAAAGGGTAGCAGATCTAAATAGACATTTCTCCAAAGAAGACATATGGATGGCCAATAGGCACATGAAAAAGTGCTCAACACTGTTAATTATTAGATAAATGTAAATCTTCCCTGGTGGCTCAGAAGGTAAAAGCATCTGCCTACAATGCGGGAAACCTGCGTTCGATCCGTGGGTTGGGAAGATCGCCTGGAGAAGGAAATGGCAACCCACTCCAGTACTCTTGCCTGGAAAATCCCATGGACGGAGGAGCCTGGTAGGCTAGTCCATGGGGTCGCAAAGAGTCGGACACGACTGAGCAACTTCATTACCAAATGCAAATCAAAACTACAATGAGATATCACCTCACACCAGTCAAAAATAGCCTTCATTAAAAAGTGTACAAATAATAAATGCTGGAGAAGGTGTGGAGAAAAGAGAATCCTCCTGCACTGTTGGTAGGAATGTAAATTGTTGTAGACACCATTAAGAACAGAACGGAGGTTCCTTAAAAAACTAAAAATAAAGTTACCAGATGATCCAGCAACCCTACTCCTAGATATCTAGAAAAGACAAAAACTCTTATTCTAAAATAAATGCCACAATGTTCATTGCAGCACTATTCACAATAGCCAAGACATGAAAGCAAGATAAATGTCAAACATATAAGTACATAAAGAAGATGATATATAATGGAATATGATATATTCCATATATCAGATGATATATAATGGAATATTACTCAGCCATAAGAATAAATGAAATCATGCCATTTGCAGCAACATGGATGAACCCAGAGATTATCATGCTAAGTAAAGTCAGACCAAGAAAGACAAATATCATGGGATATCACTTATATGTAGAATCTAAAATATGATACAAATGAACTAATTTACAAAACAGAAACAAATGCACAGAAATAGAAATCAAACTTATATTTACCAAAGGGGAAACTGGTGTGGGTGGGATAAATTAGAAGCTTGAGATGAGCAAATGCAAATCTATAAAACAGAGAAACAACAAGGTCTTACTGTATAGCACAAAGAACTATATTCAATATCCTATAATAAACCATAATGGAAAATAATCTGAAAAAGAATATCTTATTCAATTTGCTGTATGTCAGAAAGTAATACAACATTATAAATCAACTACATTTCCATTTAAAAAGAGAAAAAAAGACGTAAATAGCAGCAAAGCATACTTTTATAAAAATTTGTATGTGTTTATACCCAAAGTTTATTGAGAGAGACACAGTATACCCTCAGCATAGTCCCCTACATTACCTGTTCAATAGTCCCATATACTTGGAAGAATTGGAATGGAGGAAGGGCTATTTGGAAAGTGATCTTTGAAGCCCAAAAAGAGACCCCATTATGAAAGAAATATTGAGCTAAATTCACCACACCCAGAATGGCAGACAGGTTTCATCTCAAGTCAGCAAATTGATTGATTGTGGCTGCCTAAGGTTGAGAAGGACCTGGGTCAGGAAGATCCCCTGGAGAAAGAAATGGCAACCCACTCCAGTACTCTTGCCTGGAAAATTCCATGGACGGAGGAGCCTGGTAGGCTACAGTCCATGGAGGTGCAAACAGTCAGACATGATTGAGCGACTTCATTTTCCTTTCCTTTCCACTACCTGCTCCTGGCATTTCCAAAGAGAGCTCCAATGTTTCCCACTGGGTCTCTATTGCAAGGTGTTTCCTGCCTCTTGCCATAGGCATCCCACTGTATGACTTGCTGGTCCTTGACGTCCATTCATAGCATTGGAAACAATAGTGGGATCAACAAACCAACTGCTCTACAGTAACCTTTAAGAGGTGGAGGTAGGAAATGAGAAGTGCACTAATGTTTGTGCAAGGCCTCCTGAGCGCCACGCACTTTACGTATTTATCTTCTTGAGGACACTGGAAGGGGAATATTTTTACTCCATTCTACAGATGAGGAAAGGTGGATCTGAATGGCTAGGTGATTTGCCCAATATCACACGGCTAGTGAATGGCAGAGTCAGAATTTAAGCCACTTCTCAAAACTGCCCTCTGCGGCCTTCTCCATCAGTGCAGTGTCCCAGTCCGTTAGAAGACAAAGTATGTCGCCCCACAGACGGCTTATTGGTTAAGGCAAAAATGGTCACTCTGCAATACAGAAGCCTGCCCACGCACTGATCAGGTGAGCAAAAGGAACCATAGCAGATGGACATCACCCAACATGACTTATGTCACTTGGCCAAGGTTACACAACTTGAACCTAGTCACAAGGGAACATCTGATGAACTCAAATTGAGGAACATTGTAGAAAATCACTGGCTTCTGTTCTTCAGACATTTCATTGTCCACATCAAAGCTGAGGAACGGTTCCAGAGTAAAGAACCAGAAGAGAGACGACATCTAAATGCTGTAGGCGGTGCGGGATTTGACTCTGCACTAGGGTGGGGGACGTGCTCTGAAAGCTTGTTGGGCCAATGGACAAAATTGAAATGTGGAGTGTAGAAGGGAAAAAATTACTGTAACAGCGTTAGATTTCTTGAGTTTGATTGCTGTACAGTGGCTCTGTAAGAGAATATCCTGTTCTTAGGAAATACACACCGAGATAGTAAGAGATAAAGGGCACGATGCCTCTCAAATGGTTCAGAAAAAAGTAAATATTGCCACAATGCTTTTGAATTGTGGTGCTGGAGAAGACTCTTGAGAGTTCCTTGAATTGCAAGGAGATCTAACCAGTCAATCCTAAAGGAAATCAACCCTGAATATTCATTGGAAGGACTGATGTGGAAGCTCCAATACTTTGGCCACCTGATGTGAAGAGCTGACTTATTGGAAAAGACCCTGATGCTGGGAAAGATTGAAGGCAAAAGGAGAAGAGGGCGGCAGAGGATGAGACGGCCAGAGAGCACTCAAAGGACGTGAATTTGAGCAAACTCCCCAGAGATAGAGAAGGACAGTGCCTACAGTCCATGGGGGTCACCAAGAGTTAGACACAACTTAGTGACCAAACAACAATATTTCTCTTGGTAGCCATCAGAGAGGCAAGCCTATATAGCAGAGAACAAATTTTGAATCTTTGTTTTTATTTGATTAAATAATTCTACAGTCCCCTGACATCAAGGAAAATATTTTGCAGTGTGGCATTCTTAGTTTCTAATACTTCTGCTTGATTTCAGAGGAGACGGAAATAAAATTCTGATCCTTCACCGTCCACCTCCTCACTTGACTCACAGCTTTTCTAGGAAAGGGGGAAAACCCCACTATGAACTTGTCTTACTTTATGTTCACTTATAAATTCCTCCACATTTCCTGGAAATTTATTTGGGATTTTATTACTCTCACCATATTAGTAGGCTGAAAAAAACAAACTCAGCAGGACATAGCTGAGTACACTCTCGGCTCTCCTTCTGACCTCCGTTCCTATGAGAATCGTTAAGTCCGATGATGCTCACTCTACCAGACGGAGAAGGACTGAGTGGGGCCTCTCACTTGAAAAAGAAAGCCGTCTTTGACAAATTCTGAGCCAGCCTCTACTCTGCGTGGTACACAGAGCTCTTGTACCAGACATTTGAAAAAATAAACGCATCCTATTCTACTGAAATAAATGTTTCAGAAATACCTCCATGTCCTTCAGTGCATGGTACCAGTTTAAGACAGAATTGCATCCTGACCATTTGGGACAGGGAGTACCTATGGGCTTCTCAAGTGGCTCAGTGGTAAAGAATCCACCTGTCAATGCAAGAGACATGGGTTCAACCCCTGGGTCCAGAAGACGCCCTGGAGGAGGAAATGGCAACCCACTCCGGTATCCTTTGCTTGGAAAATTCCATGGACAGAGGAGCCTGGTGGGCTACAGTCCTTGGGGTCACAAAGAGTTGGACATGACTGAGCAACTGAACACGCCTGTACATACCTATGTTAGTTAGGGCCTTACCTGCGCACAACATAACCTGCCCTGGATGGTTTAAGCAGAAATTACTAAGGGATACTTGGGAGCTCACTCTATTACTAAGGGGACCCCTGCCACCTCCCCTTCCGGACACAGCCTCTGCTGCCCACATCTATGACCCTGGGCCCTGGATACCAGGTGCCTTGAGTTGCTGTGGTGCAGTCCCAGGCTGCATCCAACCCCCTGGGCAAAAAACTATTTCTCTGGGGTCTGTTTACTAAGAAGGAGTGTTTGATAGACAGACCCTCCCTGCAAGAAAGGCTGGGAGGCATTAGTGACCTCTGTCTCAAGGAGGAAGCACTTACAATGTAGAAAAGCCAATAAATATGGGAAGAGAATTCCGAAGATGCTTGGTGGCCACAAGCATCATGACCAACATCCCTGAATACAGCACCAAAGAGGCTACAGTCAACCCAGGAAAAATGCCCAGCTGCTAGGTTTTCTTCATGCTTACTAGTCTACTGTGTTTGCTTTTGCAGTCACTGCCTTCTCTCTGTGGTTCTGGCATTCCAAGGCTTATTTTGAATAAGAACAATAAAATCTGGAAACTCCTCAAATCTTAGTTCTAAAGTGAACTTTTTGAGGAGACTGGAAGTAATAACTGTTTCAAGCACCTGGAAATCTGTTGCTTCCAGATGAGAAAAAGGGGCCCAGAAATGTGGGGTTTGGCCACAACTACTGTGTCTGTGCTGCTTCCCCAGTGGCTCAGTCGGTAAAGAATCTGCCTGCAATGCAGGAGACACAGGCTTGATCCTTGGGTCAGGAAGAGCCTCTGGAGAAGGAAATGGCAACCCACTCCAGTATGCTTGCCTGGAGAATTCCATGGACAGAGGAACCCGGCAGGCCATAGTCCTTGGGGTCACAAAGAGTAGGACACGACTGAGTGACTAAACTATTGCTACTGTGTCTGTGCTACTGGCTGTGACCAGGGTTTTCCAGAATGCACTTTGCATAGTATTAATTGATGGGGGGGCGGGGTGGGCAGAGAGCGGAGGTGAGAGGAAGGAGGCAATGATTATGAGAGGTACTTTGCACTGGGTAGATAAAAGTCCACCCCCATTTCCTTCCTGTTAGACTTCCCTGAGACTCTAATATGCTGCAAGGGAGGTTCAGGCAGTGATGCCCTAACTCACTGGACCACACAGAACACCTGGGCCGTAAGGTATCTTGTGGGGGACTTGGGTTTCACTAAATACTCTTAGGGAAATACCCTAGGCTGTCTCTCACCCAGGTTAGAGCCCTTGCAGAACACTTGACTTCTTCCAATTCAAAACTCAGCGACTTTCATGCAAATAAAAGTGAATTTAAATGTCATTGGCTTCAGACCTGTTTTGAGGGCTACTTAAAAAGGGAAGAAAGGATGACACCTGCAGACACTTAGTTCCTTTCAAGTTCTCTTGAATGCCTTGGGAAGTTTCTTTATGTCCTCCACTGTTTGATTTAGGAAATGCTGCTTGAGGGTTTTCAACAATGAGACTCCTAACCTTACATGCAAACTTTACGATTAAATGGCTGTAACTAACACAGGGTAAAATAATGTTATCCAGTGAGGAAAAAGGATGTTTCCTACAAAGTCAATACACAGGAACTTTCAAATGTGCTTATATTGCACAAACTGAAACAAACATCGTCATGAGTTGATTTTGGTTTTGCTGTTTTCTTGTTTTGGTTCACTGTCAAGTTCAACTTGACAGATCTTCAAATTAATTCAACACATACATGTACAAAACTTGCAAAAACTTTGGCTCCCATGTGAGCTGGCCCTCAAGCCTCTCACCAGAACAGCTGCACTAGGCTGATATTTGCAATTGCAACATACCATTTGGCTTAATAATCCTTGGCACCCTTTATATTGAGATAATTTAGTAGCCTATTAAAATGCCCATCACTCTGACTTTTTAAAGGTGTTTATTTGGTTCTATCCAAAGGACCATTAAGATGTCAAAAAAAAAAAAAAAAACCCCATCTCTGAGGTGTTGCCCACAGCATCAATCCTGAAGAATCTCTTTGATTAGAAAAGTACTGAATTGTGAAGGTCACCAGGCAACAGTCCCCTTCCTCTAAAATAGTTTCTGCTGGAGACTCCTTCATTTGGAATGGGTTTTGATGAGCACTCGAGAGATCATTTCATACTTTTTATTCATATATTCACTTCTTTTAAACCATAGTTTTAAAGAGTGATCAGTTATTTTCAACTAAATCAAATAATGTATATTTCATCCTGTCATGGACAACCAAAGGCAGACCGGCATTATAAACGGCCTTGTGATAAAACCTGGTAGATACACTTTTAAACAATTTTTGTATAGGATTTGATGCATCTAAAGATTCAGAAGCATAAGAGGAATCTCCAGGACCTCTTTAAACCAAGCCAGGCCCTCCACCCTCTCCATTGCTTTTTTCCTGGTATTTCCATTTCATATGAAAACATTTAACCCAGGTCCTAACCCTCAACTGTCCCATGAGTATGTGAATTACAGATCCTTGCACATCTGAAATACTCTGCCTGCAGCTTTTTTTGGTTTTGCTTTGTTTTGTTTATCCTACACAACTTCCTTCCTTCCTTCCTACCCCTGGCTCCCCAGGGCTTTTAGAGATAGGCTAACCACTAATCACGTCCTCCTGCAGTCTTCCTGCAGCAGCGGGTGAGACCAAGAGCCAGACTCCTCCCTCTGCTCCTGGCCAAAGAGGGATGAAAACAGTAATGGCCATCTTAAACAGCACTGCAAGGATCTCTGGGAGACATCCTTGAACACAGGGAGCAATCGAATTTAAGTGACACACAGCAGCCCTGAATGGGAGCAGAGTCACCGCCTCCAGAAGGCAGTATCTTTTCTATGGTTTTCCACAGACAGCTGGCCTCCCATTAGGTCGTTCCCCCATGGACGACAGTCACTCTGAGAGCTTGCTCATGCACTCGCCACGCTCCCGAGCATTCCACACAGGGCAAGTTCTCAGCAGATTTAAGTGATTCAAATGTTTCCCCTCCCCAAGTGTTCTTTTCAAGGGCCATTTGGATTCCAGGGGCCACCGCTAACCATAATGACTGACATTCTTTCCATTTCTTGACTTCCTGTTGGGAGTGGAGATTTTGAAAACTCCATGGATGAATTTGTCAAGTTCTGATCTAAATTCAGGGCCAGAAGGAACACCTGCTAGGCAGACTCCCCCGCTTCCCACCGCCCCCCACAACAAAAAAGTTTGAGCTTGATAAATCCTCAAAGTGTGTGTGACAAGCCCCTCCGAATCTAAATGCCTTTGCCCAGCCGACCACTCACTCACTTGTTCACTCCCAGTCTCCACTTAATTTTCTTCATGGGAATGGTTTGCTATAAACAGAAGAACAAGTTCTTATGGAGCACTTCATATCAAAGCACTTTTTAAATGGCACTTGGGATGTCAACCACTCCATCCGGGCTGGGGCACTTTACTCATTGGCCTGGGTTAAATAAAGGCACGCAACAGACAAGTGCTTTTTCCCAAGGTCTCTGAGGGGTGGGGTCATCAAGGCTTGGAGAGACAGACTGACTTGATGACCATCACGCGGAACTGCTGCAGGGTGGTGCTGAAGACAAGGTATTGCAGTCAGACAGATGCTTGGGTTCAGCTCTACCTCTGAGTTTCCTAGCTCTGAGCTCCTGTTCCGGTGACTTTATCTGTTATCTGTTTTCCTATCTACAAAGTGAAGGTAATAAATCTGACTTAAATTACAAGAGACTGCTAGTAAAGTGCCTGAGGGACGGCGCCTGGTGCCTAGTGTGCGCTGAGGAAAGGGTGATGACCATTTCAGCTTTGTGTGGCCACTTCATCCTTGCTGCTAAGCTTCCTGTGTGACTCCATTAATGAATGTAGGGCCTAAAGACCCCTGTTGGCTCAACAGAAAGCCAAAGAACTTTAAAAGTTCAAAGGACACTTATGTAAGATACATTCTTAAGAGACTCCCCTGGTGGTCCAGTGGCTAAGACTCCATGCTTCCAATGAAGGGGGCAGAGGTTCAATCCCTGGTAGAACTAAAATCCTGCATACTGCACAGTGTGGCCCCAAAATTTAAAAGATGTATTCTTGTTCTCTGAAAGGTCGCAAGCCATGATCCTTTTCCAAAAGGGATTTCAAACAAATGCCATTTGAAACAGATGAGACTGGCAATGCTTTCCAAGTAAAATTAAGGTATAATAAAATAAAGGAAGCCAGGTTTCTCAAGGCATACGGTAGGGAGAGGAGAGAGACAGAGATTAATCAGGAATCCAAGAGTCCCTGTTGGCGAAGTTCTAGACTGGACAGCCCTTAACTTCATTCTGTTAGAAAACTCCCAATTAAATGAAAGCTTTGGGGGGACAAAATGCCCAGATTTTTATCATTGAGGGTGTAGCTTAACTCTGAACCAAACTTCCCAGGTTTCTGATTCATGTTTTTCCAAGGGCAAATGTGGCCTTCTGAGAGGGTCACCTCAGTTTCTGGAAGGAGGGTCAGGTATCTGGGCCATCATTAGCTCCCCAAGAGGTTCTCAGGCACCCAGAAGTTTGAGAAGCACCAGTCTGAATGTCGCCAGAAAGGCTAGGAGAGGAAGAGTGAAGGTGTGGGGAAGGGAACACTTCGGAGACTTGGAATTCTCTCTTGGTCTGAATGGAATCATTTTACACCAACACTGTCACAAATCCAGATCTGGGGTAAAAGGTTTCCTCATTTCTCCTTTTAAATCAGCATGGATGTTCTGGGCCAGCCCGTCCTTGCAGGGTGGGCAGCTGTGAGTTATCACCTCTTGGTCTTATCTCCTCTTCATCTCCTAACCCTGTCCTACCTTTTGCAGATGTAATTCTTCCCCTGTCTGCTTCACAACTAATTGTTCCAGCAGACAAGCTCCGAGCCTGAAGAAAACAGGATATATTCTTGGAAGTAATTACTGTACTGAAATGGAGTGGGGAAATGCCCCAGCTTTTGAATAAAATCAGCTAGTGAAGCAGCACTTAGTTTTGTCTG